CCGTCTGGCTCAAAGTCGGGTCGAGTGAGCGTTCGCTCCCCTTCGTCAAAGGGATCCACCGGCGTTTCGCTCGCAGGCTCGGCCTCGGCGCTCCGCCCTTGATTGCCATCAAGGTTTTTCTCGCTCCTTAGTCTCATTTCGATCACTGAAAGATCAGGTTGACCTTTAGTCGATTCGTCTTCAGCAAACGCGTCGGAAGCGCTGCTAAACGAGGTTTGGCTACGCCTAGTTCTAAATTTCCGCGTGCTTCCCTTGCTTAGCCTGGGAATTTTAGTAGTCGATCCTAACGAGTCCCTGCGCTGCATAGTTTTGTACAAAATGAAAGTATTCGTAATTTGATGGCAATGCAAACGTACCACAAACAAGATTTAGTTAAATCACTTAACGCTGCCTACTCGATTCCGTCAGTATCAAAATGTCTCTTAGATCTCTCACGACTAAATTAGTGACTCAGCTAAAGTTACACACAGGGTCTACCCAGTATTGATATAATGCTAACTTAACCCGTTGTATAGTATAACAGTATCACTAAGTTTCCACAAGATATAATCGACACACAACACACAATCGATAATCAGATAAGAATATCCTACAGGTGACAGCGACCTTTTGTCAGTATCAATTTATCGCCACACAATTTATCAAGTCACTGCTTTGTTAAAATTAAACAATCTTCGATAAAAAGCAGTGATGATTCAGAAATAGATAAATAAAACTTAGTCTTAAAGAAAAAGACTTCCCCCAATCGGAACGATCCGAAAGAACGAAGCCCAGGACACAGTCTTCTCAAGTGGGTGTGTATTTGCCTAATACACCCACCGAGGTCTTCTTTTAGGTGTCCTGCGATTGCCCGAGCTGTCCTACTAAGTAGCTCAAGGCAACCTCTTGGTCGAAAATTCGTCAAATCTATGAAAAAGCTCTCCCACACTCGGACTGCTCCAAGTGCACGAGAGTAGGGAACAATTCTTCTTCTCAAGTGGGTGTGTATTTGCTTAATACACCCACCGAGGTCTTCCTTTATTTGTTCCCGGATTGCCCGAACTTTCCTATTAAGTAGCTCAAGGCAACCACTCAACCAAAATCACAATCAAAAAAAATCTTGTTCGGGTACTTCTAATACACCCAATATAGAATCCAAAGTTGATCACGAATTTCCGGGTCAGAATGGGTTCTTATGACCCTGATAAGCACGCCTAATATCCTAATATGATCCTAATTAAATGGATATTTTCCGTTTCCCAAATTGCCACAGAAGGTTTACTCAAGTCTCTTACAAGGAGGGTCGCTAGAAGGTTTAAGACACTCCGGAGGGTTACCTCGGAGGGTACCTCAATCACTCAAGTTACTTAGGAGGGTATCTTAATCACCCAAGTTACTTCGGAGGGTCCCCCTAAATTTACTAAGGAGGGTCAATAAGATGCTTAATACGCTCCGGAGGGTCACTTCGGAGGGTACCTCCAAAATTTTCAAATTTTCTGATCTCACTTGGAAGGTTCTCCTACTAGCTTCAAAAAGCGTCAAAATAAGCTAAGGGTTCTAGGGGGAGCTGTTTCAACTTCTTAGGGTGATCTCGTGGAAATTTTCCACTAAGGAGGGTTGCTAAAGGGTTTAGCTGACTCCGGAGGGTCACTTCGGAGGGTTCCCCCAAAATCAAGAAAAAGGGTTAAATCACCGCAGTAAAGCCTCTGAAAGCGGTCTACCTGACTTAAGACTAGGTTGGCTGACACGGTCAACCTTCCCAGTTGAATAAAAAGATGTTTTGATAAAATTTTCTGCCGCTCGGAGGGTTGCCCGTTACTTGGACCCTCCGAGACAACAAATTCTAAAAAATTTTTCTTTTCCGAAATAATCAACCCAAAAACGGTTGCGATTCGGAAAAGTGGTCAAAAACGTCGACTTATGGTACCAAAATTATCCCGATCGGATAACTAGTCTTTGAGAAATCGCCAAAAACGCGTTCGTCAAAATGGCCTTTTTCACCACCTGTATAGGATCTGAAAGACTTTTTTCGCAATTCCGGTCAAAAGTGCCTAAAAATACTTGAAATGAGCGTAGTAGCCCTGTACGGCACTGGAATAATGCAAAAAACCGGACCAAAATTGGTTTAGAAACAAAAATTTGGCCAAAAACTATCAAATTTGGACCCTCCGATTCCTTCCTTTTCCAAACCTTAAGTCGTTAGCTCTATCCACGGAGCTACTCGGAGGGTTACCCAAAAATTTCTCTAGTAACCGAGCACGTTATGCTAGCACGCTCCTAACGCAAAAAATTTTATTGCTCTAACTCTAAAAACTCAAAAACTCGATCCCCAAAACAGATTGACAAAATACAGAAAATTATCAAAATTTTGGTCGAAAAATTCTCGTTTTTCTAACTTCTACTGAATCTTTGCTCACGCGGTTTTTTTAATAAAGGGGATCGAACTACGTGGCTACTCTCTATATAAAAGCTTTTTGCCTATCGGAAAAGCTCGGATATCCGAAAATTTGGGGGTCTACAGTTTGGTCGAAAATTGGTAATTTCCGACAAAAAATGGGTGTTTCTTGGGTCTAAATAGGAGATAAGTAATATATAATAAGGATAATAATCTATTAATAGTCGTTGATGAATAGTACTATACCCTCCTTTGCACCAAAATAACCGAATTAAGACCCTTAACTCGGAAATTTGTAATCGATTGAGGGTACAATCGGACCGCGCCAATCGTGCCCCCCACCACTTAAGTTTTAAAGAAATAGTACCCGAACGATACTAAAATTGCTTCAACGATACCCAACAGTCGTTGCGGATGTTGTCCTTGATGTCCCTGTTGAGTGTGGAACACGTTGATCAGCCTGCCACTCTACCCTCCGGTCACCGGCAAAATCACCATTAACGTGCTTAAACACTCAAATTACACTCGAGGGAGGGTACCCAACCCTTCACCAAAACACACAATCTCTCTATCAGAAACGATATAAATCAATCTGAAACAACAACAAATAGGAAGGTCAGATCACATCTCGTCCGGAAATAACATATAAACTGTCACTTTATGTTTTTTACTGTTTTTGGTCTTTTTTGGATATTTTTTACTGTTTTTTGTACTTTTTTGTTTTTAAATAAATTTGTTTTTGGCTTTTTCTTGGTTATACACTATTTTTGTTTGGTTTTACGCTTTCTCTTTAATTGTTTTTGGTCCTGGGACCTCAGGACAAGTGGGCTCTAGATTTCCCACCTAACCCTCCGGCCCCCGGAATTTTCGGTGTTAACTGAGTTAAAAAGCTAAATTGCACTAGACGGAGGGTACGCACCTTCCCCCTAGTACAACAACGGTCATTAAGGCCTCTAGCTCGGGCTTACGCCCGGAGCGGAGGGTACGTCGCTGAAACGCTTGCTGATCATGATGGTTTCATGCCTTTAACAGGCCCACCCAGGAGCGCCATAAAAACGTCTATGTAACATTCGCCCAAATATCACACAGCGACGGAGCGTAGAAAAAGTACCTATCAACGACTGGCAGGCGTCAGTTACCTTAATTCTACTCGTTTTTCACCGTCTCGACCTTGCCAGTTGATTTTCTGGTCTGTTTAGGGCAAAGTAAAAAGTTACCATTTTTAGGCCATCAGTCAAACGACTTTTGATCAGCTTTCGTTTGCATGCGAACACAACCACATAGCTGAGTCTCGGATCCTCAGACTACGTGATTGTCATTAAAAACACTGCTCGAACAACCTATTTTATTATGTTTTTGTGTGACAGTTTTATATTAAATCCATTGGAGATGGATTGACCCTTTCCTTTTTCTATCTACTCATGCTCTGAAATATTAAATAATAACGGTGTTAATTACGATCTAGGACATTACAGCAGCTGTTATAGTTAGTTTTCACAGTCCCTTCACATATAACAGTCTCTGGGGGACCAAGCCTCCGCTCCCGTGATTTTCTTGAGATAACACTCTTATCTCCTATATTTCGTGTCCCGGGAGGGTTCCGTGGTATTTCTCTTCCCCCCACTGAAGCCTCCGTCTCCACAAGTATCTGTCACTAAGGTCCTTATCGTGTGTTATTGCCACGATAAGAGGCTCCGTGTTCTTCTGTCTCTGATACAACTGTTCTTCACAATCTATATCGTTGTTCTGATTTTCGTCTTTTTTATTCAAAATGGCCGTCTTTTTTCTATTTCTCAGAAATGTTCTTCTTCCGATCGAAATTTTAAAAATAAAAATTCTAGAACATTCTGACCCTCCGTCGCAACACTTTTCTGTTCATAAGGCCTTTAGTCACTTTTATTTCTGTCGCGGGAAGGTTATGCTGTGTCATCTGGCAGAATGGCACAAGCCTTCACGATTTGTCCAATCGTCCGAATAACGCTCTTATTCCTTCAAAACCGCCAATTCGGAAGGTTCGCTGCTAAAAACTCGAAATTGCGGAATCTGCATTTTTGTCCATTCTGGTCGAATGTCACATCCAGCAATGGCACTCTCCTAAGAATTCTTGCTGCTCGCTATCTGGAACAAGACAAATCTACTCGAATGGGTTGTTAATAGTCCAAATTGCGAATAGCAATATGACTCTCAATCTGATTTCTGGTCCACTTTCCCGCAATTATGAAATCGGTTTTTCTGATATTCTGACTTTTTATTTCAGTTGCTGCGATAAGATTGAGCATGACATGGCCAAATCGAATTTCTCAAAAATTCCATTTCACCCCAAAATATATAGCATTGGTATGGCCCTATCCAACCTGTGCACGGACTGTCGCATGACGGAAGGGCCTATTTTGATTGACCCCTTTTTTATTTCGACCTCAAACTCAAAATAAAACTTAGGAAATGACCGACTGGCTCACAAAAGTGACATAGGAAACTGCTTCACTTTCAAACAATGATTCGTCCTCTGACCTTCTGATCCATTGCGTCCTCTGACCTTCTGATTTTGAGCTCGAATGGAAAGTTATCAATGTCAGCTTAGACACGAATTTCTTTGAGCTGTCGCGATTAAAAACCTATCTGCTCCAATTTTTAATTGCCAATTCAAATTTGTGTTCTAGAAATGGATGACGACTTTGATGTTGAAAGACTGCTAGATGAAGCCTTTAGTGGCGATAAAAAGAACGGGTAAATTTGGAGTTATTTCATTTCTTATCTGTCAAAATACGTTAAATAGTTTTTGAAATAGAAATTTTTGTTTAAAGCGATGTTAAAAAAGGCGAGAAAAAACGAACAAAGAAAAGGAGTAGTAGCAGGGATAGGAATCGTGACAGAAAAGGCAGTAGAGACAGAAGCAAGCGAAGTAGATCGGGGAAGAAGTCGCCCAAGCGGAGGTCACGTTCAAGAGAACGAAGGTCAGTAATTTCTTATCAACCCAAAGGTCCTCTCAAAAACTCAAGTGCTGAAATTTTGCCATATAATTAGTAGTAGTAGTAGTGGTACGGCTTCTGTGGTTTTCCCACAAGAAGTTCAGGTACCGTCTTAGGTTGCGATTACCTTGAAAGTATACTCCAACAGGGTACAAAATGATGGTTGGGTCCCCGAAAGAAGCAGGTATGAAAGATGGGTTCCGCAATTTTTGTTAAAATATCTAAAACTTAGGCAAAGAGGGATAGCCGGTTACTGTGCAAGTAGGATATATGTTCCGACCATGCAAGTAGGATATATGTCTTTAAAAAAACTCCAAGAAAAAGCTTTTGTTTTCAAATTAGTGAAGTTTTTAATGCGAGGGGTGATAAAAAAAGTCTGATGTAAAGTTTTAATGGGTCCCTGGCAGACAGCCTGGGCTTTGTTTCTTTTCATCATAGGTAGTTTCTGTGGTCTGGTAGTCCTCTCTTCACAGCTCGTTATTTCATTTTTTGTAGATAATTTTCCAATTTTTTAAAAAAGTTTTTGGTTCCCAAAATGGAGCTACAAAACTCCAAAAACTAATTTTACTTGCTTAAAGTTAAGTTTTTAGGGCCCAAATTTCGCATAATAAAGCTGTTGTATTCCTCATTGCTCGCTTTATTCGCTCGAAATTAGACGAATAATCACAAAATTTCAAACCGGTTCTCGACGCTAGTAAAGTTTTCGGGATTTTTAATGTGGTTCGAAAAGGCTTTAATATGATATATCACTCAACGCAGTCCGATGATTATTTAGGGCAGCTGATTTTGCGTGGAAAACAAAAAAAAAAAACTAAAACACACCCGAATACAAAGTTCTTACCTATTTTCAATGGTCGGAACAACAAGAAAATAAACTTGATCAATGCAAAAACTAAGTCAAGTCAAGTCAAGTTTTTTTATGACCATTAGGCAGTGCCTCTTGTGGTCTTTTCAAATGTTCTTTCCTATCTCCGTTCGAATTCGTACATGTCAATTCCAATCGCTTTCGAATGTTTGTCCAGTGTCCACTTGAATTCGTCGATGGTATTGCTTTGCACTGTTTCCTGTGGCAGATTGTTCCAGTCGAGAGGTGCTCTTATCGTGAAGAAATTTTTTCGCATTTCTAGATTTGCTTTACGTACTACTACTTTACATGCGTTACCTCTAGAATCCCTATCATTCCGCTCGAATAGTCCCGCAGTGGCTTTCCTATCATAAAAACCATAGCAGATTTTATACATTTCTATCATTGTCCCTCTTTTCCTTCTGTATTCCAGCGATGATAGATTCAGTTCTTTAAGGATTTCGTAATAGGATAGATTTTTTATACCACTAACTAGACGCGTAGCTCTTCTTTGTACGTTTTACAAGATCTTTTGATGCTTTATCAACCTTGGGTACCAGATTAAGTTCGCAAATTCGAGGTGTGGCCGTATCAAGCATTTTGTGACTATAGTGAAGCTTTTCTTAATTACTGCTATCATGCCGTTTGCCTTATTGGCTTTTTTAGTGATGTGTGTTTCGAATGTCAGTTTGTTGTTAAGCCAGATACCTAGGTCTTTTTCGAGTTGCACTTCTTTTATGTTTTCGCCATTGATTTTATAGTTCCTCTCCATATCCAATTTCTGGGTTCCTATTGTCATGTGAACACATTTGTCGATATAAAAAGACAAAAGACTTTGGCCAGACCAAGTTTCAAGTGACTGTTAATCTTCATGTATGCGTGTTACATCCGATTTGTCTTCAATTTGAAGATATAATTTCGCATCGTCAGCAAATAGATATATTTTTGACGCTATTTTGTCCGGCCTTGTGTTGATGTATATTAAAAACAGTACTGGGCCGAGTACTGAACCCTGGGTTATTCCACTTTTTAGTGGCTGCCATGAGGATCTTGAATCGTTAATTACCACTCCCTGTTGTCGTCCCTTAAGAAAGTCTGTTATCCAGTTCGAGGTTCTTCCAATTACTCCATACTGTCTAAGAACTCCGATCAGTCTTTTGTGTGGTACCGAATCGAAGGCTTTCTTGAAGTCCAAGTATATCATGTCGACAATTTCATGTTTGTCCATTGCCTTGGTGAAGTCATCAATTACTTTCAGGAGTTGTAAGTTCAGTGAACGTCCAGATCGAAAACCGTATTGTGCATTTGTTATTAGCCCCTCTTCATTAAAACGATCCATTTAATGCTTTCGAAGAAATTTTTCGAACAACTTGCAACATATTGATGTTAAACTGATTGTTCTATAGTTATCTGCCATCGATTTTTTAACCTTTTTGAATATTGCAGAAATGTTAGCCAACTTCTAGTCTTCGGGTAATTTGCTTGTCGCCCTAGAGGTTTGGAAAATAATCAAAAGTGGTTTTAAGATGATTTCTCGTAATTCAAATAGGACCCTAGGATGAACTCCATCTGGTCCAGGCGACTTTGAGTTGTCTAACCGATTGAGTTCTTCTCGGATGTCATTCATTGGTAGCTCCAGGTTGTCATCAATGCTGGCGTTTGGTGGAGGGCTGATCTCGGGGGTTCGTAAGTGAAAACCGATGCAAAGTTTGAGAGCACTTCTGCCCTTTCGTCGTCTGTGTCAGTTAGCATACCATTTGGTTTAATTAAAGCGGGGATTGATTCTCTTATGGTAGTTTTTTGGCGTACGTAACTCCAGAACTTTTTCGGATTAGTTTTTACTTCTGATGATATTTCTTTTTCAAGTGTGAGTGTCTCCGATCGTGTGGCAGATCTAACCTCATTTCGTTTGGTTTTATATTTAGTTAAATTTTCGGCTGTTTGATAGTTTTTGAATGTTTTCCAGGCTTTCTTTTATCTTCATGCGCACCGCCCTTGCAAGCGGCATTCGGTTGCCACTGCTGCGTATCTTAATTAAAGGCACGAGTTTTTTTGACTAATTATTTCATGCACTTTTTCAGTTTTTCCCATGTATTTAACTGAACCGTTGGGTCAGCTAGATAGTTTCTCATCCCGTGGTAGTCTCCCTTTTCATAGTTTCTGCGGTTTTTACTTTTCGGTTTAACCTTCTTTACTGGCACATCTATCTTGACAAGGACGTGGTCATTTTTTCCGATTGGTGCCTCTAACAAGGTGTCTAAATCTTTTACGACTATATCTGACACCACAACATCAAGCAGTGATGCCTTGTCTCTGCCAGTAAGCCTTGTAGGCTCTTTGATATGTTGTGTTAGTAGTGCGTCTTTAACTGCCTCTAGAAAGGTGAACTTAGTGCTATTTTCATCTTTTAATGTACTCATGGCCTCACAATCTATCTGTGGTAGATTTGTGTCTCCCACTATTAGTGTTGAGTCATTTGACTGTGTTTCGTTCAAATTGTCAATCAAATTTTTTAGTTGGTGGTCATTTTCTTTAGTTGAGTTTGGACTTCTATACAATACACCAAAGTTGATGATGTTCCTGCCAATTTTAATTTTTAAAAATAAGTTTTCACAGAAAGAAGACTTATTTTTGTCCAAATGTTTTCATTAATATAAACTAAAATTCCGCGTCCTTGATCAGATGGGTTCATATTTATTGATTCTATGTTATAGTTTTGGATTTCATGCCATACTGGATTCCATTCTGCGCGAGAATTTTTCGGTTTGCCTTCCACTAGAGCGATGACATCAGGCATGTATTTTGCTTGATTCTTTCTCCACGTGATTTCGTGCAGTTTGTCTTGAGTTAATGTGTCTATGTTTGTGAACCAGATTAATAAATACCGGTTTGAGGTTTTTTCCTTATATTCATTATTTGTAACCCCCCTCACAAGGCGCACGTAGTCTCCTTGTTCCTTTTCGTTCAAGTTTTTCGCCTTTGCTATCAATCTTCAGACTTCTTCTCGTTCCTTGAGACTCCTGTCTGGGCCAATCCGCAGGTTTTTGATTTTATATTCGGCATCTTTTATTGTATTCAAGTTTTTACTTATCTCGTTTACATCTTTTTCGTTATCAAAAGATACTAGCAGTGGTCTGTTTGTCGTGGCTTCATCATTCTTCTTCCCAAGTCAGACAAAATTTGTGGCTGTTTTGTTTCCCTTTTCGGCCGATGCTAGAAATTTTTTTATGTTGTTTGTCTTCTACCTTTCTGTTATGTCCATCTTTGTGGGTACTCTCAAGTGCTTCGTAAATTATCAAGTTCTTTTTTCTTCTTTTGTCGTCTTCTCTTTTTTGCTCTTCAGATGCTTCCATTTTAATTTCTTTTAGTGGCTTGACTCTCAGTTGTTGGGCCACGTCCCATGGTTTCTGTTCAGTTTGATTCACGGCTCTTGGTCCTGCTACAAACTTATAGAAGTCGTTCATCATGTGGTTTAGGTTCACCATTGTTTTGTCCAGATCGCTCCTTAGTGTATCCGGTTCTGGATTCTTGTCAGCTTCAATTAAAAGTTTCACCTTCGGTGTGCAGGAACTGCAACACCAGATGACTTCTGGTTGACACATGTAATCGTAGAATTGGTCTGGTATATTTATGCATGTTGTACAAAGGTGTTCATGACATTTATCACACTCCATTACTTTATCATCGAGGTTAACATAGGTCTTATTGCACGTTTTACATTGCCAAGCGTCCATTTCACTCGCAGATTCAGTACCTTTACGTCTAGTTTTTGGTTTTGAAGGCATATTAAGTTTGATTTTATCAGGCCGCTCTAAGACACTTAACTCTCAAGAAGCTACCTAATGAAATCAACTCACGAAAACTACTAGACCGCCCTAAGACACTGAAGTCTCAAGAAGCTACCCCATAATTTCTCCTTCAAAAACACTAAGCCCTACTCTGATTATTACTGGGCCGCTCTAAGACAATTAAGTCCCAAGAAGCTACCCTTGTAATTTCAGAAAAAGCTTCTTACTTTTATTTTTTGCTTTTCTTTTTCTGCCTTCGCTTCGACGTTGACTGTTTCTTTGACTTCTTCGTGGCAGACTTTGACCGTTTCTTCAGGACTAATTTTTTCAAGTTACTTCTACTTTTCTGTAGA